TTAGAAAAAAACAAAAAACGAAAAAAACAGCTAAGTAATGTTGAGAGGAATTTCATAGGGGAAAAACAGGAGCAGACATAGCATTTTTGTTTTTTGGCCGGGAGTGGGAGAGCCCTGGACTGAAGCGACCCTGGACTGTATGAGGTGTAGTGATCTTCTACTCTACTTTTGCTGTTTTTTTTGCTATTTCTTTTTTGGAATATTGCATTGCAATTTTTGAACTGTATACAAAACCGAATTTATGGTTAACATTTTCATTATTTCAAAATGCTTCCAACCACCAGAATAACACCTTCATTAGCTGAGCATCAATGACTCTGATCTTCACTATAGCCGCTCATTTTCCTAAACCAACTAATTCACCCCTGTTTTAGTCAAAGTTTTTCTGCATATTTTGTGTTATGGTCTTCGTGATCTGTTCCTTTTCGTGATGGATTGAAGATTTCCGATACATTTGATTTCTTCGTTTTGATAGCGTAAATGCTGAATATTCAATGTTCAAATGCATTAGTTCGGTCTAAGAAATGTTTTGAAAGACATCAAGCAATGCAAAGTAGTTTCAGTTTGCATTCTAGCTCTGACAAAAATTGTATCAGTGATGTTCCAGAAAAGCCTTTTTTCAAACGAAATCATTCATTTTTTTCCACTTTGCAATCATGTAAGCTATGGATGTTACATGCCAAGTTTCTCTCTTCATGCTGGCTCTAATTCGGATTTAGTTTCCCTTTCTCGTCTCTCACTTTTATCTCGAAAATGATCTATTTGAACGGAGTCCATATCTCCATTTTCTAAAGTTCTGAATGCCATTGTACATATAGCAAAACTGCAATGTGCATTGATGTTTTGAGACTCAAAAATATTTTGTAATGAAAGTATGGAAGATGGGGCATAATTTGCCATATCAAGTGATCGGAGAGCAAATGTGTACTATTTTTTCTACAGTAAGTGCTGATTAGATTGCAGGAAAAATTGCTGGAAAAAGTAAAAAATCCAGAAGAAATGAAATTACTTTTGGAATGATATATGTAATAGTTTTTGTTGTGATTTCGTATACCCTAAAGTAGCTGTAGAATTTGTTTGCATAAACCATTGGAAACATTAAAAAAAGATTCAGAGCAATTCTTTGACTGTATTTTCGCGACAACTTCATTCAGGTCATTTATAACTTAATATGTGTATTTGCCCAACATGCGCAGTATTCTACGACTTATGCGCTTACAAGACCCTACGTTGTAGATTTTTTTTTTGAGTAGTAGGGGTTCAGGTAGTGAAATGAAACATTATATAACAGCTTGTGTTCGAAACAATAATTACTTGATGTTCCCTAGTAAGTAGTCGTAAAATGTCACGCTTGTTGTGCAATAACATTAGCTAGAACTGACTGCTGATATATAAGATTTGTAATTTGCGCAAAATTTGTAATCACCAGGAATTCTAATATGTTTTTTATTGCCAGTAAATCGCTCGGACAGGACAATTCAACATTTATCTGAGGGGTCTAATAGGCGCTGCTGACCGGTTCGCAGCCACTTTTTGCGCATGTTATTTTGCGTGCTTCGAATTCTTCGAGGAATGGCCCGCGCAGCCGCAGGCGCACAGCGAGACGCGGGGAAGAGCGGGCGGGGGTGCGAGCGAGAAGGAACGAGGGGGGGACGAGCTGGAAAGCATTCCGAACCCGTTTTCCCGTATCGATCGATCGATCAATCTATCTAAGCTTCCCGGTGGTTTCGTCGGACGCTTTTGCTATAGCATAGACGCACACATCCCAAAGGCATAAGATTGTTATCGTTCGCTTATGATCGTCGTCCGATCGCTCACGGCACTTGATCCTTTTGAACTGCTTAGGAATACGGTAGAATACTTTGACTGTAAAGTTATAAATAGAAAATGTGCCATTTTCCCCATTTTGTAACATCTTTGCCATTTCGCTTTGCTTTTTTTCGCACACTTCCGCCGTGTATCCGGTTACTGTAATTTGCCTATCATATTATGTGTTTCATGCAAAATTGTTCATAAATCTGTTGGCTCTTCTTGGCTTAATCACTGATTTCCGGTTTAAAGTTTATGCAATCACACATCTCTTTTTTTAGAATCATTATATGAATAATCGGCATGGAAAATTTATGGAATTTGATTTGAACTAGCGAACTTTCATTATCGGAGTTCATGATGCACCACAAAAATTCCCAAAACTATTCTTCGAACGGAAATGCATTTTTTTAATTCTTCGCCTCAGCTCTTGCTTGCTCATTTTTTAATCTTTTGTCGCATATATTCCTTAGCTTCTTAATTTACAAGGTGTCTAAGTTTTGATTTTCCATAACTTTTGATTTCCATGGCTCACATTTCTTTTTAGGATTTTTTCTCAATTTTTGTTGTATACCCGATTTAGTATTTTTCTTAGTTCACCAAAACCAGGAATTATCCTTAAGTCAGAACTTTAAAGAGAGCTAGAATCAACCAAAGGAATTACATGTGATATTATCGATGTTGTGGTAAACAATGCTTGTTTACTTGCTTTCGAATACTTGCAACTAATAGCTTGGGCAGTTCAGCCAAGACAAGAGTACTCGTTCTTTAGTACGACTAATCTCCAAATTTCCAAATCCTTTTCTCTGTCGTCCAATTCGTACGAAAGGATATAAGAAATAAATTTGTCAGATTTTATGGCAAAGAAGCAGTGTTATTTTGCTCGACTTTCGTTTTCTACGTTCTCCTTTGATTAGGAAATTCGCTTTCAGATTCTTACTCATTCGATGTGTCAATAACCTCATATGGAATCTAAGATTTGGACCTTTTACTTGTTTTCTGTAAGATTTTCGTACAATTCGGAATAAGAGACTGTTGCCTAGCAATTTCTAAATCAATCTATCTCAGGGTGATTTACATATATGCAACCAGCATTTGATTGTGCTCATATTGCAGTCATTGATTTTCTCTGCATTTTCCGGAATATCAAGTTTTACAATTCGAGGAAGTTGTTTCCCACAATCCAGATCTTGCTGAAAGCATTGTAGTCTCACATCAATATAGTTATTTTGTAATTTTGAATTTTTTGCATCCTTTCTGTACCGTTTCTTTTATAGGACGGAAAGGGTATGTAAATATAATTTTGGAAAGCCTCAGTAGTGATGGGAATGTTGTAAGCATTGAAAGTGAAAAGAAAACATAAAAAATGAAAACTATTATTAGCTGGTCGATTCCCATAATATAAGGTAACTCCCACCCTGGGTCTCACTCACTTGGGTAATTGAACAAAACTATCTATAAGTTTTTGTTCACTAGAAAAAATTTATCGTGCTATTCTGTGACCTTGGAAATGTTGAATACTCACATTCTCGAGTTACCGTATATTCTTTAGATTTACAGCTCTGTAATCAATCCCCCCCCCTCATAATACTCTTTGTTTGAGCACTTCCTCATTGACGCAATGTGTTTTTGATTCCATCGCTAGCATCCACTCGAGAAGCCGTGATCTTTATCGAGCAGCTAGTAGCGTTGCAGCTAGGTGATTCTTTATTCTCTACCCCTCAAAGCTTACAGCCTACCCACTTGTAACTCCTAAACCATAAATTCAAGTTGATTTATCGCTATAATGTTATTGTTCTGCTGCTGATTAGTTTTTGATTTGACGCTGGACATGGTTCTTTCCGATCGTCCAAACGACGATTTCATGATGATAATGGGCGCATGGCGCAAAGCTCTCCTTCTGTCCCGGATACTAGGTCTGATCCACAATCTGCGATCACGCTTGATCCTATAGCTGCTTACATGTGATTGCATCGATTATTGTTCGGCTAGAGAATACTGCCCACATTGCCATTTCTGTCCATCTTTTGATCAAGGCTTTGGAAGAAAACTTTTCTTCACCTATATCTTAGCCATACCCTCAGTAGAATTTTCCAGCATATTTCGAATATTTTTTCAGTATTCAACTCGGAAATCTCAAAGAAGAGAGTGGAGGCCCGAGAAAAGTTTTTTATGTTGTCATTTCAATTTTAACCATCCTGACCAATTTTCTTTGTGTAGATAGTGTTTACACACTGCCATTTTGGTCCAGCTATTTACTACGTCTTCAAAAATACTTCTCTTTACGCGTATGGATCCTAGCCATGCTCTCCCAAGAATTTTTTGGGATGCCTCCCAGTTTTTTCGCGTGCTTATAACTTTGAAATTTTAAAAACGGCGTAGCAATTCAGAAATTTATTGAAATCAGCATCGTTTCAGCTCCCCTTAAGACCTATCAAAATTTCTCAAATTTTTTTTGAAAAAACGAGTCGCTTGTCATGATCCACTTTCATCAGTTTCTTAGCTTATTGTGAAAGAAGGGAGGGCTTTCAATTTCTGTCACGTATTTTAATTTTGTAAACTCTCCTTTTCATAAGGTATAAGTTTCCGTGCTTGAAATTTGCTTTCTGGGATGAAATGGTTTTATGAATATTTAGTCTTATGCCTGTACGCAATTCTAGAACTGTGCAAGCAGAAAAATTCTGATATGCTCAAGATTCCCTAAGAATGTTTGCAGGAGCAACCCTTATTATACTCTAAGATATAGAAGGTTCTGGAATCCTAACTCCACCTATATCTATCAAATTTTCCGGCCCCTACGTCCTTATATCGAATGAATTCAGAGGTTCTACATGTGCAGCAATATACTGATTGCTGGTAGAAATCTAGATTAGTATAATATATATTTGTAGTGATGCAAACTATCCATATTTCAGCTCCATTTTATCTGTTCTTCCACCGCTTCTTAATGAAGAATTTGTGTCTGATTTTACTCGTAATCGTAGTCGCGTTTATCACTATCCATAATTGACTATGTATCTATTTTTCATATTCTTCATTGAATGAAATTTGACCTTTCGCATTTTGTCTTTATACTCAGTGTCTAAGTTTTGATTGCTCGCTGTTTTTTACGATGATCACGATGATAGATTGGTCTATTTTAAGATCTCAGCCACGGCTTTGGCTCTGGCTGAGCTTTGCTTGGTTTGGCAATGGCCGACGATATTTCCTACGAAGAACATGTACAGCAGAACAACCAAAGGTTGATCTCTATCAAAATGGTGAGTCTTATAGAGAAGCAAATGTTTCCTCCTCATAAAAATTCGTTTGGGTTAATCTTTCTCGAAACCTCTCATTTCACCAATATATTGCATTTTGTTTTTATATTTTACCGTTGTTCAATGTTAACAAACTAATACTCTTTTCATGACCCTACCTGTCGAATGATGATTTTTATATAATTTTTGCACAATCCTTATCGAGGTTGTTTAGAGCCTCATGGAGGAGCATTCCTTTCCATCTGCTTGCACTGAGCTTACACAATGGTGTGGTGATCAGAGGGCATTCTCGTCGTGTTTCGAAGAAAATCTTTTGGCAGCGTTGCAGGTGGGTTTTCTTTTCTTATGAACAGTAGTCAACAAATCGAAAAATTTTTTCCTGGAAACGGTGTGAGGGAAAATGTTAAACCGGTTTGAGTAAAAATACTAAACAATAAATATGGGGCATTGCTTATCACATGATTTTTATTCTTCGCATTTTTCGTGATCATTTTATGGTGTACTAGGTGGCTGTTGAGAACGGCACCAAGGATGGATTCGACTTTACATTAGCTCATCAGCTCATCACTGCATGTTTCACTCACCGGAAGCTGCTTAGTAAGGAAAGTGCAAGTGAGTACTTGTTGTGATTCTATGATCTATTTTTCACTTCTAAGTTCACAATGCAGGAGATTAGACTTTTATGTGCACATCTATTCGACAATATTAGGTTGTCAAGAAAGTTTTGTCCGTTTTTTATCGCTCACTAAAACTCACACAACACGAATCCGTGGATGATTTAGGTAGCATTTGATTCAAAATTCTATCCTCTTCCTTAAAGCTGGATTTGCTCTCTAGTCTACGCCGTCTTTGCAATGTTATCGCCATGGCTTTTTGAGCAGCTCAGCAGTAGCTCCACAACTTACCTGCATTTCTAAGAATTTTATCCTGATGTTTCCAGAAAGCGCTAATAACCGTTATATAGACAAACCTTTGGCAACGTTGCATCAATTCTAAATCACATGGGCCACGTTTACCAAGTCCGTTATAATTATTTATTTAATAAAAACCGCGGCTTTTTGATTACGTTTACCACGTAAAATTACCGAAAATTCCAAAAGCTGCTTTTTTAAAGCAAATCAGACTTGGCTATGTTGCATAAATAATGTTTATTAATCATGTTTCAATTCACAGAAACTTCAAAAGCTTCCGTACATTTGCTGCAGTTGCAAATTTCATGACTTGGCCAAAAGTCGAGACCTCCGCAAAGAAAAATAATTTTTTAAAGCTAAAGAGCAGATTAGGAGAATCTAAAAATGTATCCTTATAGAACGAGGATTTCTCTATTTGATTCATACTTTTCCCGAAACTTTGGAACGACATTTTTAAAAATTAGCCTACTTTAAGCACATAAAATTGAGCTGGAGAATTTTTGCAATTATCAAGAAAAGCATACAAGATTATGGTTCGCGAATGTATCCATAAGAAAGAGAAGGAAAAGCTGCATCGAATGCATGTTGAAACTCGTTCAGGTCTTTATTGTGCGTGGTTTTATAGTGGTTTGAAGAAACGGACAAAGCTTTTGGGACAACCTAATATATTAGGTTGGTTAAAGATTAAGTCCGTTTTGGCATGCAAAACTCCATAAAAAATTTTCTTGTTGTTTTTTGTCCATGATTTTTTGAACGGAAAACATCAAAGCTTCTACTATCAAATATCAGCTGCACAAAATTTTTTTTAGTAAAGGACATTATGTCTTAATATGACTATATTTCCGAAAGCTCAGTTTTTTGACTTTCAAAGCTTATTTTCGTGCTGTGATGGATGTAGAAAATTTTTATTTAGAGAATAACAATAAAAAGTGATCTGTCATTTTATAATTCTTTATACAAAAAACCAAATTTTCTCACAGTTGCGCACAATGAGACAATTGGGGTATCCTACTTGTTTGAGGCTTTTCTTCATAGGAAAGTAGATTCTACTCAAGCAGACTTTACATTCCAATTCTTATTGGATTGCCCTTCCTGGAGATACCACACATTGGGCAAAAATTTGCCTGCAGAAGCTGAAAAGCCACCGAAATGATGTTTAAGTCAATTTAAAACTTACAAATTGGCAGACAATGGATTTTTTCGAAATTTGAATGCTTTCAGTGATTTAATCATGCTCGGAATTTTCTTTTTCAATCTCGTTTGTCTCCAGTCATAAAGTATGCAATCTTCAATGATGGATGCAGATATAGAGAAGAGATTTTTCCTCAGAATCTTTATTATCATAAGTGAAAGTTTCCCTGACAGCCCCCCCCCCGTAGATGAAATCACTCTCGATTGTTGCAAGAGTTAGTCTCGGCAGTTCTTCGAAATACGCAGAGTGATGCCACTTGATTGGACTAATTGCCATAGCGGCGCGTTCGACGTTTAATCCTCACGAGAGGCAAAGCTTTGACTATTGTTGGAACAAAGCCAAACCAGTCTATTTTGGAACATTTTCCATGTGTATTGACATGTTTTCGTGAATAAATCGTCCCATAGTTTGCAATAAATCCTGCGAAAAAAATCCCAAAACTTTTTCAATCTCATCAAATGTTTGTACGAGTTTTATTTTAAAAAGATCTGCGCGTTTTTGCTTTATTTTTGCGTTGATGAGTATTTGAGGTTTTTGAATTTTTATTTTGCATCTTTTTGACTTTTTGCAAATACGAGATAAATTCTCTAATATGTATGTGTAAAAATGCTGCTCTAGGTCATACAATATAAAGTTTGCAACATACACCTCAACCTTTATTAAACATTTCTTAATAAATTTTTGAGAATTCCTGACAAGTAACAAAGTTATATTGTTAGGTTGTCCCGAAAGTTTTGTTCGAATGACTATAAAATCTCGTATAATAACGACCTGAGTGAGCTTGAGTATTCGAAGCAGTTTTCTTCTCTTCCCGAAGATTACATTTGCAAACCACAATCACGTACATTTCTCCTGATAACTGCAAAAATTCACCGCATTTTAATCCGCATAAAGTTAGGCTAATAGTCAATAATTTTCTAAAGCTTCAAAAAAGTGTAAGGGCGATTTAAATAAAGCGAATCTCGGACTATAAGGGTGTATTATTTAGCTCTTCTGATCGGCTGCTTAAAGTTTGAAAAAAAATATATCATTAATATCCCATTTTCTAGTGAACTCATGAAACAACTGCAGCAAAACATGAAAGCACCCATTTCCGCGAATTAAAGCTCTATTACTAATCCATATTTCTACATAACGACTGAGTTTAATCTGCTTCGAAAAATCACTTGTTTTGGAACTTTCTCGGTACTCACGTGCGCTACAAATGCTCGATAAGCCGGGGTTTTTCATGAAATACAATTATTACAGATTAAAAAAACTAGATCCATGTAAGCTGAAATGAGATAATAAACCCTTAGGTTTACTCTACGTACACCTATCAGCGCCCCTTTAGAATATTACAAAAAATTCTTGATAGTAGGGTAAATTTGGGTCACTGGTGAACTGCCTGCTCAGAGAGCCCTCGCGCTAACATGGCAGGGACTGCATAAATCAGAGAGTGATTGCCTTCGGGAAGAGGATAAAAATCGAACTCGAACGATACTTGACTCGTTCAGTGATGAGTGTTTTGTGAGTTTCAGTAACCGACAAAGTAAAAAAAATCGACGAAACTTTCGGGACAATTTAATATTTGTAAGAAACAAAAAGTTTTGTTGACGTTTCTAGATCATACGTACCATAGCTATCTCCTACTTACAGTTTCTCAAACCTATGTTTTCAAATGAAATATTCAATCAACTCAATAGTTCTTTCGAATTCCATTTCTTTTTATTCAATTCTATGATTTGTAATCGTTAGAATTTCTTTTCTTTCAGCGCGGATCAATCGTTGGTATGAACAGTTTCGTCGTTTGAAGAAAAGCGGTGGAAAGCGAAAACGGAAAACAGAAGCTGCACAGCCGGCTGCTACAGCTGTAGCAACGCTTCCAGTGGACCCGAGTATGGAGACTGTTACAGTAACAGACAGGTTGGAAAAGTTCACTTAAACATCACGAGAATTACAATAGCGTCGAGCCTGGCCATTTATAGAGAAAAGATTCTTAGATAGAAAAGAAATTGCTTACAATCGAGAATCAAGGTTTGTTCTACATCCGATGAGGCCAGAGTGGCAGTAGTAAAGAGTTGTTGCTAAGGTTGAAAAATATGAAAGCCGACATCATCTCGGCCTAACCGGACCATCTACCCTTTGGTTATATACTTACGAGATTTGGGAAGTAAATGTATGAGTGGACATCCTTCTACTCCGGAATCCGAGGTCTAGGACATATGCGCAAAAATGTCTTGGATATTTTGCTACAAATGGATTACCCGGGTTTTCTGCAACGGTTACTTGCTATCTTTTCTCAGTAGGCGAAAAATCAAGGTGGAAAGAACTCTTCTACATCTTTTCACGATTCGGAGAAGGATTAACATCTATAGAAACAGTCATCTTCAAATTTTTAAGTCGTGTAGATCACATTCACTAATTTGAGACCTTTCTCTAAATACTGTCATTGCTAGGTACGGCTTACTATCTTTCACTTTTGTTCTGGAATTAGTTTGTTAGTTGAGTGCTTTTCTCATTCACGTTCCGTCATTTCTTCATTTTGTAATTAATACACCAAATTTTTCGTGTCAATTTGATTTATATTTCGTTCCACTTTTGTAGTTATTCATAAGTCTGTTTACACAGTTTGTACCGCATAACGGCATCTACAGCAAAATCTAAGCACCACATTCCCGATAGATTATTTGTAAGATGTTTCTGGCTATGGAACAGCTTAGTTGAACTCGCTTAGACTTTTCCAACGTTACCTTTATAACAGTCTAGCTGATTTTGAATCTCCGTCTCCCTCCTACGTACATAAGAAGTTACGGGTACTTCTCTGAGCTCACTCTGACACAGTAAGCTTGACTAAAACAGGATGGCCCCGTTAATTTCTGAACCCTTCGCGGCTGATCTTTCCAGCTGAGAAGTACATCTTGATTCAGAAAATGCTTCCGAACCGATTTTGCACTTAACTTCAACTGACTGCAAATAATTTGTATTTTGTATTTTTATATGTATTTTTAACCTGTTTTAACCCACAGAAATTTTTGGCAAATGATGCTGGTTGATTTGGAATTAGCATTTCGAAGTGGTTGTTATCGTTAAAAATTTTTTTGAAAAAGCGCTCATTTCTTCATTTTTTATAAGCGTTTATTTTCAACTTTCTTGACTAGCGCACTAGCGAATTTCCCGGCAAATTTCTATTTGTAGCGTACTCTTTCCAAAGTGAATAGTCACCGAAATCCGACGATTTGTCTCAATTCGAAGGACGAGCGTGGCAGTTTCGATCTGCCAAGGACGAGCATTTATCTTCACTGAGCGTCATGCCAAGTCGCTTGTCACCTGCTCTGTTGCATTCTCTTCCACAATTTCTACTCATGAGACTGTTTGTTGATTGATAGACTAACTCAACGGGCTGTTAACTCGGCCAAACCTTCACGAAAACTCGTCTCATCGTCTCGAGTCAGCCTTGTCCCCCTATAAGATCCCCGACTTTCTATAAGCTTTAGTATGTTGGATTCTATAGGTGCATGGAGACTATGAGAATCATCATCCTACGCATGTTCGTGCGTTGTCCTTTCCGCACGTGTTTTGAACTCATGTTTTCCACAGTCATGTACGGGGAAGTGGGAGGGGAGAGATGGAGAGAAAGAGAGAAGGTCCTGAGTGCATTTCGAGATCGAGATATACCCGATGTAAACATGCTTGTTGTGCTTTCTTGGTTAATTACAGCTGAAATTGATTATTAGGGCGCAGGAGAGTGCGGGAAGGGAGGGGAAGGCAGGATGGGGGGGAGGAAGCTCAAACAAAATGCTGTGAACTGAAATTAGTTTTGATTAGTACAGCTTTTATTTAATTGTCTATTTATTTGATTGATTATTTTTTGTTTATATATTTGTTCTTTTGTTGCATTACCCAAGCGTTTGTAGTGTGCTTCTTATGCGTACAAGGGAAGAGGATGCCATGTACGGAGTGGGCGGGGCTTGCCAAGGGGGCGGAGTTAACCATTAGGGGGCCGAATATCAACATTACATACTGAAACAAGATAGAGGGAACATTCAATGCAAGATGCAGGAGTAGATCCGTTTTTTACCGCCGAAGTCGAAATAACTAGAGTCATATAAACTAATAAAAGTAATTCGAAACCCAGTCATTAGCTAGAGTCATGGCAAAAAAATTCTCCAATTCTTCTAAATGGCGGCAATCTCCATAACTTCTACTCTATGTTTTCGGAGTAAATTTGAAAGTGCTTGTTTTTCTTGCCTTTTTCTAAAACTTTCATCGAAAGTACAACTTTATTCAAAATGACTTATCGTTCTCTGTTGTTTGCGCTAATAGCCAGCTTTCTAGGACATGTCCTTACGTCACGAATGAATTGTTTTTGGGATCACGAGGATTAGTTATTCAGAAATCAAAACAAGGATATTCTCTATAAAACCAATCCTATTGTTTTTGGCAATTTATATAAGTGACCGGTCTTCCGAAATCTGTCTTTTACATCTACAAGTTTTCAGCTCCATACATATCTCCACACTTTATCGATGACTTTTCCGTAGAATTCTAACCTCCAACCCCTAGTAGTTTTTCCAGCCATACCACTGCCACTCTGCATTTGTTTTTGTTTATAAATTTGTTGACATAAGCGCCGTAACTTGTTGTGTTGACAATAATAGTCATAGATCTACACGTCTATGCTCTCACTCTATGATGCGCTCTCTCATCGCTTAATGACTGACGACGACAACGACTCTCTTCCGAAATCTTTAGTAATCCTGATTCTTCGTAGGTCCTGAAAAGTACGGTTAAGGGGTAGGGGAGGGGTGGGGCTCTAAGTTCTTTTAAGTAGATAAATGAATGTCCTCGTTTAGTAGGTAGCTAAGACAAGGTCAAAAGTCTTGCTGACCACCGGATACGGTAGGGTTATTTTGAAGGATAAGGGCCTTTGTTAAACTACCCTGGTTATGCATAATTCAGTTACCTGGAAGGCTTTAGGGTACGGTAGGGCCAAGAAGGGTAACAGATTTTGTTGAGATACTCTGGTTATGCATAATTCAGTTACCTGGAGAGGTAAATAGAAATAGCTCAAAAACCCATACTGTCATTGGAAGAGGGTCGAAAGATGTGTTTGCTGCATTTTTTCAACGCAGTTCCGTGAGATTACTCGTCCGGGTGAATGGTTGTTTGGAAGTTACCCAGACAGGTAAAGGGTAAAAAGGAGACATCCTTCCAAGTGAAAGCTAGCTGAGAAGTCGTCTAACCAGGTAGTTAATTGGTAAGTTACCTAAGGTGAAGGTTAATTGAGATATCCATCGGTGGAAGCTAACTGGGAATCAACCCACATAGGCGAAAATTAATTATTTAGCCAGTAAAGCTATCTTCTCCTTATTTGTCATTTACTCCAAATTAATCTCCTGCATCTCCTCGATATCTGTAAAAGTTGAATGCTTATTGTATAGGTAAAGGTGTAGAGAAACTGTTTGAAAAGTTACTCTTCCGGCAGCTCATTGGGAAGTTACCCACAGAGGTGGAGGTTCATTAAGGATCACCCAGTCAGCTAAAAAATTCTTAGCTTCTCTGTTCGATCTGATTTTAGCGCCTCTCCCAGGTCATTAAAATTTGATTTGGAACCTACCCGTCTAGATAAAAGAGCTGGTCAGAAAGTCACCCATGGTAAAACCTGATTCTGAAGACACACCTTCAGGTAAAAGCTATGTACTGTTCCTTATCCAGTTTTTTTTGCATTTCCTCATCTTACTCCCAATAAATCCCCGTGTTCCTCTACTAAATCACTAACTCACCACCAATGTCATGCTGCTTTCAATAACAACTCCAAATCTCTTAAAATAGCGCATCTGGTGATGTTTTCCTCATCCCCTCCCAGATATGTACCTTTTGCCTCCGATGCAGTGGATCGCCTCTCCGCTAACACATCAAAGATCTCTCTTCTGCACATCAACGATCAACCAGCCCCGGGTGATCGCTAATATTTTTCAAGTGCTTGGACCCTAAGGGTGCACTTTTTTATCTGGAGAAATAATATCTTGAAAATCCGGAGGGGAGGCTGGCCTCGACAAGAATTCTAAGCCGAACGTAGTGTTGGCGGATGAGTTTTACTTGGGAAAGAATGAACCCAATGAGGCGGAAAAGGGCAACTATAGGTTTGAGATTCCATTTTGTCTCCGAGTTTGTCGTTTTCTTGCATTCTTCAAAGTGAAAATGAAATATGTTTGGAATGGGGAGTTCCCGAACTTGCGATAAATCTCTGAATCACGCTTTTTTCTCTCAAGAAAAATATGTCTTAAAACGCCTCTTTTGCGCAACTTCCACAAAATCCCCGGCTCGCAAAAAGAAAGAAGTTTTTTTTCGCCAAAAAATGCCCCTTCCCCATTCTTCGAAATCCCTGGAGGAATTCGATTGAGCTGTATCATCAGCAGGATAAACTGCTTGGATGCCTGTGGTGCTAGGAACTTCCGTGCCTATGTCGGTACCATTATAAGAACTCGGCCTCTGGCTACATTAAAAATTCTTTTGCAGCATTCTGGAGCGATACAAAATGGGAAGAGATTAGGATTGAATTGTAACTAATTGAGGGGGGGGGGGCGAAAATTCTTCAAACTTTTGAGAATTTTTGATTGAATGTACGATTTAGCCACCTATTCTGGCATTTTATTGCTTCCCGAAAATTATGAGCTCTTGTAAAGGAAAAGGAATGTTTTTACTCCTCACAGTTTTTACTCCCCCACTTCTAGGCCAAAGATAAATTTCTCTTCACTAACCCCCCCCCCTCTTGCCAACCCAACCTCAAAATCGTTGAAATCTACCCAAATGACCCATCGGTGCAATGATGCCCGCAATGCTTTCTCATTACTATTGTTCTCACAATGTTATCGCATCGTAGAATCTGAAATATGTGACCGAGGTTGAAAAAAAACTGGATGGGTTCCGATTCTGGAGGGTATGGGTTGGTTAATGGGTTTTTTCACCTGCTAACCGAATGATTTCGACAATTTGAAGGCATTAAGACATTGTGGTAGTTCTCAATTGAAAAATTTCAATTTGATCTAAATAATACCGAAAGTAATTAAAAAAATAATAATATAAAATAAGAAATAAAACTGTGGATTAGATCATCAATCGTAATGTAAATTTGACCTTTTCTCATATCCGTAGTGAACATATGTGCTGATATCTTTTTCCTATGAGAAGGGAAGTTGAAAAATATTTCAAAAACTTTTCGATGTTTTTTGTGCGCAATCTCTGATTTCCACATACTAGATAAATTTGCCAATCCCATCTATTTTAGAAAAATGATATGTTGAGAAACCAAAAAAAATCATAATATTCGCTTTTCTGTTTGATCTTTCGCTCGCTAGAGCCTACAAAAGATTAGAAAAAATAAAAATCAAAAAATCTAACATAAGTCAAGATTTTTGGAACTGCTATCGTCACCCTGGTGTTGAGCCGTATTTAATGTTATCAGTGCTCAGTTTGGTCATTTAATTCAAAAAAATTCTTTTGCGCCCCCCCCCCTAAATAATCAAAATTCGCCTCAAAATTGCACATATGCTTTGTTTCTTCTCGCGCCCCACTCACATGTGATTCATGCATTTGTCGCAAGCGTGATCGTCGTCATACAACGTCACTCCAAGCAACGAACTGTGCTCTATCATTTGTTACCGTCCCCGGGTGTGATAAACAGCACAACCCACAACAGCTCAGTGTTGCCCAATGTCAGTCTTGTGCAATCTTTGAACTTTTTCGGGGGGGGGGGGGTTGGGTTCGGGGCTGCAGTAGTGCGACTCGTTCTGCTGTCCTTGTGTTTTCGGCTGTTCGAAGAGAACATTCGTGCTGCTGATAGGCTATCAATCAATTTCATGTGATTCGCTGCTAACCGCAATGCTAATCTCTTTCTCTGGGAGTCGACTTTCGCACTTCTTTGGGAGAAATTTTGGGAAACAGTAACGGGAGTGGACCATGAAAGAAAATTCACGTCTACTCAATGAAACGGAATAGAGTTGTATGTGAATTATCAAGAGAATTTCTGTTTCCAGGCCCTCTCCGAAATTCTTCGGTAAGAATTGAGGGCCTCAAATGCACGAAAAATTTCTCAAAAAAGTTTTGAATCTCCAAACCTCCAACCTGAACTTCTAACTTTTGTGGACAGTCCTCGCTTGAGCGCTGAAGGTGAAATCATCCACATTCGGCATTTTTTAAGGAATTTTTTTTAGTTATCAAAAAATTGATGCATTGATTACTGTAGAAGTCTGAAACAGCGAAGCCTGCAAACTTTGTAGAATGGCAGCTAAATTACCTCTCCGGAAGAGTTAGAGCAAAAATAAGATCCCATGAATTTTTTGCTTTTGATATGGATGCTTTTCGTTATTAGTAATTGAATACCAACTTTATGTCAAACAGCAGTGATTCTAATCTTTGGGGAATTGCAAAAAATACTGGAACCAGAAAATTTGAATTTTTTGTCCTGCTGGCGCAGATGTCTCCTGGCATCAACATATAACGATCTGTGGAAAAATGCTAAAAAAACATAGCTAAATTAAAATTCTGACAGGTTTTTCTTTAGTTGTCTTTTGGTACCACAATATCCAGCGATGGCAATAAAATTTTTCGAATGGAGAGTGTGGTCCTCACGCCCCAAAAAATTATTCAGAACTGAGTGAAATTTTTAGAAAAACTAGAAGATAACCACACTATCAACTTGCTTCTGGAATAATTTTTGCGCTTCTGCTTCGTTTGGGAGCAATTGTCATCAAAATCGTTGCCATGCTGGTGACTCAATTCCGTCCGAATCTGCAGCCTTTTTTTTGACTCATAATGGGTTGCAAAACTGCCAATACGCCCACTTATAGGATGAGGTTCATTGCAGGCGAGATATGACGAACTTAGGGATGGAGATTCTATTTGCTCAGTGCAAGTTTTTCCTGTATGTTCATGTACTACCGACCATCTCACCTTGCATGAGTCATAGTTAGTAACATGGAATCTAGTACAGAACATTCAGGTCCGGCCTTATGGGCGCTTGGTGAAAGGAACCGCGGAGGGGAGAGGGGAGAGGGGAAGAATGAGGGATTTGGGAAAGGGCTAAAATTATTGGAAACTGTGTACAGCGGACCGAGAAACGAAAGTGATCTGCTGTGCAAAAGAGCCCACTTTTGATATTTGTAACTTTTTTGGTAATTTGGAAATTCAGTCCACTTTATCAGTCCATTTGTGTAAGAGGCTGGATATGCTGGGCCAGATATAAAAGTTTTGCTAAACCTGCGCTTACATAATTTGATAATTTGACCAGCAAGTGGATAGAACTGCGTGCTTCGTTGACCATATTCGATAAGAAATTGCTCCGTATATCGCAAAGGTAGAGTAAATGATACTGAGTAAATAAACCAGCTTACATCGGCACGCTAGTTGACATAATTGGATGACATCGAAAACAGCATGTTTTCGCATAAACTTTGCTATCTCTAGCGTTATCAACAGTATAGTGACTCGCTGACCCCAGCTACTCACCGGACCGTACTCGAGCAAATCCCTGACTTCGTGGAAGCGCGAGCGCTCGTGGCTAGTATCTGTTTACCCTCGTCTAATTCGGAGGTACCAATTGGCCCTCCTCGCCGCCGCCTCGTGCGCTCTGCCCGATTCCGCATATGAATCTCGGGTGCCGGTCGGTCGCCGCTCTCCGCGCCTTGCCTGGTCTCTGGCGCGCTGGCGGTCTGCGCGTCTGCCGACGGCGCGCTGTCTCGGCAGCGCTCGGCGACACGATGCTCGCTCTCTGCTCGCCGCCGGCGACGTCTCTGCCCTCCAACCGACACAACCTGCCGGCCGCTCGTTGTCATTGTTCATGAATTGGGTTGGTTGCATCGATTAACTTCTCGAACTGGTATTATCACTTGATCTACTCCCAAACCCGTCTCAATATGGACATGTACTATGGGTAAGTCCACTTTTTCCACTAGAAAAATTCTCCCTCTTTCTCTGGCGCTCTCTCACTCTCGACACAGTGTCTCGCCAGCTCGCACCCGTTCTCATAGCGCACTTCACCCCCGGAACTCTCTTCCCGTGGTGGCGATATGCGCTTGAATCAATCCTCTTCGGCACAACGCTGGACTGGCCGAGTGCTTGTGCTGTGCGTATGTGGAAAACGACGACCAGAACGTCAGCACACACATCTCTATGCACGGGGGGGGGGGGAGGTGACGTGTTGAGATCGCTGCAGAAACGAAGGACGGTGCCGTGCCCGAGACTCGCAACCAACGATCAGCACGAAATTTATGACTTCTCCATAGCTTTACCCTGCATAATCATTTATGCGTGGGCGGTTATTCCCTTTTCTAGGCAAGGGTAGAGTACATTACAGTAACCCCATACAGTGAAGGATGTAAAAAGGGTCAACCCCTTTTTCCTCGAAAACTATGATCTGAATACTTGTTTACGCTTAAGCTGGATAATGAGCTCAGCTGTACTTTCAGGGCATTCACCATACTTTTCTTGTGACATATTAGCTAATCGGACATGAGACAGCAATCATTTCTGAGATTGTTTACACGATTTTTCATGTTTGGCTTTCTGCGTTTTGTGAGAGTGAGATCTTCCGTCGATAGACGAAATCGGTAGACGAAAGAGTATTTTGAATTGAAGTAGCCATGTTAGTGTAGATGACATTGGCCCAGCTAGTGGTCTACCGTACGCTTACCATAACTTTTGAGGTAATATGGAAATCGTAGTCATCCAAAATAAATGTGCTTAAATGGGTCAACTGTTTAAGCCAAAAAAGCTATGCCCACGTCAGCTGATTGTGATGTCCTTATTGGGTCAGTGTTCCCAATGGCTTTGGTTGGTCCGCTCGAGAAAAGATTATGGTATGGGCGAGAGCTAAGAATTGGTTTTGGCTTCAAATGATTTTTATGCTGGATGAGCAGTGGCTCCATTAGGGGCTTACAAACGTTATTTACATAAGAAATCTAGGTTCTTAGATTTAAGTGAAACTCCCTCAAGCACTCGAGAATTCCGTAACCTTATTGCAAAAAATTAGCAGTTCCCCGGCTATAAAATTCCAGGTGCCCGTATATGAATTTGCGAGACTTGAAACAAGAAGCGTACACCATTCAACAATATCTGTGGTTAGTATCCGTAAGAAATTCATGATAATATTTTTCATCTTGAGAAAAAAATTCTTGAGATCCCTGCAGGTCCTAATGGTAGATCCCAATCTCAAAAAAGTCCCTCACGTTCAACATTTTGATATACTCTGATATTGCTGCGACAACATTCTTAGCCTAGGATTCCATTAAACAATAACAACCTCTGAATCACTAGATCTTGAGGGATATGATGATTAGTAGTTAGTCATGAGTTTATCTTGACTCAAGGCAACTAAGTGTCTTGCAAAAACGATGCAACACTCGAAAGTCAACTCAGGCGAGTAATTCTTTCCTATTATTTGGATTTTAGATATTCTATGAGGGAAACTACTTTATGCCTGGCTTTGACTTTTCGCAGGGACTCTCCCCAATTCTTAAAAGTGTTAGTTCGCTCATTTGCAAAGCTGGGCGAAATGTGTTCGAAGTAGATACGAAAGATCCGTTGCGAAGCTGGTTTTCTTTCCTCTCTCCCTGTGTTCGTCTGTCTCGTACAACACACGCGAACAACAACAAAAACAAATCGATTGGGAGAAACTCTTCAAATTATGACTTCACAACTGCTTTCTGGGATATTTAGCCGAGGAAGAATTTTTGGCTATGTATTTTCAGCTCAGTTTCGGGGAGGGTAATGGCTCTATCACAGCCATATTTGACATTGATGACGGAATAGCGGTAGCTTGAGCAAATAAACATTCACAACCTCGTAGATGAATAGGAAGAAAATGCCAGGTTAGCGGATAATTCCAAAGCTTCCCGAAAATCTCATGTTCGCTACATATTCAGAAGATCACAAAGTCTTTAATGCGTATATAGTCCGCAAATTTCAAACAGTTTTTAAGCGTACTCGTATTTTACTTTTTTCTCTGAAAGTTTTCTCTGCCCTCGTGCTTGCTTGTATAATTTTTTAAACGTTTTTGATATGGTATCTTTCACAGCGGCATTCTAACGCCTCTAGCGTCTTGAAAGCGAGGGGTGAAAAAACAAAATAGACATTTCTGAAATTTTGAATATTTTCTCCCACACATCGTCTAGAAAGTGGATCGAAGTGCATAGAAAATTTTTTTGAAATATTTGCACAAAAGTTCTGGTGTGAATGCCAATTATAAACGTGTAACAGAAATAATCCGTTCCTAATTCAGTAACTAATATGTTTTGCTATGAAAATATAAAAGATTAGCTTCAAATGTTAGAAAGGTGATAAATCAGTAAACTGCAAATTTTATGCTCAATTGTTCATAGAATCACTTTGAAACAAAATCAAAAGAATGCTCTGCTAATTTTGCTAGGTTGGGAAAATATACGCTGAGGAGACCCCAATCCAGCTCAAGTATTTTCAATTTTACTATGTGACAAATTTTCGTTATTTTTTTTCTCTTGAAAATTTGCACTCAAGCTCTCTCGGTTTGGACTATAGTTCCAAATTATCGGTAAAAAAAATATGAGGCGATAAAACTTCACGACCCGCTTCCTTCTAAGCAAAATCGAACAAGTTATCTCTGCTACGAAAATCATCCATTTAAAGAATTTAAGCTGAATGCTACCGTGTTCCTCCTCTATCCATTTTTTCCTCCTAAGAACCACTCTCCAGCGATGTTCTTGTCATTTCCCCCTTACACTGAGGGATCCTATGTTGTTCGCGCCTAATCGTCTGTGTACTCGTTATCCATTCTTGCATATTGGTCCAATGACCTCAGTAAGCGAGCGACGCGACCGAAATTCACTTCGGCCAATTTCTGCATATACGACCTTATTTGTCCTTGTCGATATCGGAGCACACACACAACTGTTCGACAATCGGCAAGATTTTCGAATCGTTTGCGCGCAATCGATATATTGATTGATTGTTTGGGAGTCATTTATATCACTGCTCTCATCTGTATGTAATGTTCAAGCTAATCTAAGGAGTTCTAATAAAGCAAAAAAAATCAATTCATTGGTTGTATCGCGTCATCATTAGGTCACGAAATTGATCGCTTAGCTCGGAAAGTAAATACAAAGGCGATTCATGTAGAATTCAACTTCTTGCAAAAATTCGAAGCTTTACCCACAACCGAATTTGGCCTTGGCATTCAGCAAAAATACTTAGATTATTGACTTTGCTGCAAACAGTAGGTCTTGAAATTGTTGTTCGCTCGGCTTGACAGAGTGGCGGGAGGGGGAGGGGCATGGTCGCGAAATTTTTGAGTTGATTACATGAGTTAGAGGAATGTACAGTGACTCTTTATGCTTGTGAATAGTTGAAAAAATTTCGCAACGTCCTTAGAAAAATTTCGTGGGCGTGGCTCTTTCCGCCCTCACTCCGTACGAAAAAAATTTTGTTGCGTCTTCCATTCCCCTCAGAAAATCTGGGACTGCCCTGTATAAGGGAACAAGCGAAAATTTTAAATAAATACAAGAAATCATTTTTATCTTGCCACGGAAGTATAACTTTCTTTTTCAGCGGCTATAAATAACTTTGCTTTTTCGAAAGATATACTGTAGGAATTCGCTTCCCCAATAAGATTTGTCTGCAAGTTTCAAATAACATACGGTCCACTCTACCTTGGGACTTCTCCTCCCTTCCCCCCCCCCTCCTCAAGCAGTATCTAATGAGTCGTAAAGGGGAAGTTGCTTAGGAGCGAATTCACTAAATGATGTCATTGCGGCATTGTTGATTACACCCGCAGGCAAACCGATGCCGTCGAGTGCTCATGTGGGCAATACGTCATAGTTGATTTCTTCTTGTGGACACGTGGGTGTAGAAAGTCGAATGGAAGTCTGCAAGGAGTTATTACATTAAAATAGCTTGCTTTTGTTTCCAATGAGCAAGCTTTCCTTTCCTGGTAGAATCTTCATGAAGTAGGCTGAAAATTTTCCGGACATTCTCCTTACTCCTTACTGAAACTTCTGCCCATTCCTTCGCTCTGCAAGACTTCCCTAAACTGTTACTGTCGACCCCTATCTCATTGTTATTCTCACAGGTGGCGCTACTGTAGCGCCACTTTGCATAGCAGCGGAATCGATCAATAACCATGTACACTATAGCAAAGGATCATCTGTAGATCCGTTCCTGTAGACACCTGCTCATCTGCAGCGTATAGCATGACCTTTGTTTGTCATAACAAATATACCGCCCTACAGTTGACCCCTTGATTTGGAGAAGGGATTTCGTAGCATCTTCAACCATTTAAGCGAGCGAAACTTCCGCAAGAGTTAGGGAGAAGTTCCGCGGAATGTAGTCACATTCTAAATCGTGTGTGGTTGGCAGTGGATGTTTCGGAGGAGTTGCGAGAATCTTGTTGGTGTTAGTCACGCTCTGGATGCTATACGGTAACACCGGAATTTTCGTGAGTAGAAGTTCCGCGGAAGTTAATTAGGTCCTAAATCTTTATGGTTGTAGGAAGTTCCGCAGGAGTTAGGGAGAAGCTTTGCAAGGATTAAATTAGGTTTTAATTCTGTATGGTGGGCAGAAAAGTTCTGTTGAAATAACTTAAGTTATGAGTTGTGTACGGTTGGCAGCGCGATTTTGGGGGAAGTTAGGGAGAAGTTCCGCGGAAACTAGGTAGGCTCTACATTTGTATGTCTGGCAGCGGAAGTTCCGGAGGGAGTTAGGAGGAAGCTTCGCGGAAGTTAGTTTCGAATCTATATGATGAGGAAATCTCCGCAGAAGTCAAAAGGAGGTTTGTTATGTTTTCTCTCCCTCACTCTCAAGAAATGTAGGGAAGAATTAGAATTTTCGACTATTTATTCTTTTTCGTGGGCAAGATTGTTTACTTCCTTTCTTTCAACCTAAGGTCCCTAAATAGAATACTGT